AACATGAAGGCTGCAATCAAGTCAAGGGCAATGGTTTTTTTCTGGCTCATCTGCGTGTTTTCTGGCTGAGGCGCCGTGCTAAAAAGGCCTCCAAGCTCAATTCAACAACGCGGTAGCGCATCTGGCGCTTGGGCTGCATATCGGGTCCCGTGGCTTGATTGGCTGTACGTGTCTGCGAGATCATGGATTGAAGCTGGCCATGAGCTTCGTTCCAACTTACGGCTCAGAGGGCCGCCTAGGGCGGCGAGCTTGAGCACCACAGCCCACGAAAAATGCGCTACTCCCGTCAAACGTATATCACTCTCTCTTTCTCTCTCTCTCTCTCGCACAGCAGCATGAAAGTCCAGCTTCTGAGCATAGCTTGTCAACAACTGGATGAGCAAAACCTATTCAACACGAGCATAGACTGACATGACCTGCCAAGGTTGCGTAGCTCACATCTTGTAGCCGCAAGACATTGCTTGCCCAGGACTCAACCTTTGCGGCAAACACTGTCCTTCCAACAGGTGAATCAATGCGTCGACGTTAGCAGCAACCCACAGTGATGAAAGCCGCACAAAGGAGGCTCAGAGAAAGAGAGAGGCAGAACAAAACTAACAAATGCAACACTCATACGAGAAGACAGAGGTGAAACAGCGCACAGACGGAGAAATTGCAGAACACAGGAAAGAACGCAACACGCACACGCAAACAAAACGTTAAACACGCTGCAAGAAGGAAACAGCAAAAACACTGGCAAGCACCCGCCAACGCAACCACCCACCCACGCACCCACTCGCGCGCACCCGCCCCCCCGCCTGCCCACACGTAGGTTCGCAGGCATGCACACACGCAAGCACGAAAGGGAAGGAAAGAAGGAAAGAAGGAAAGAAACAAAGAAGCAAAGAAGCAAAGAAGCAAAGAAGCAAAGAATCAAAGAAGCAAAGAAGCAAAGAAGCAAGGAAGGAAAGAAGGAAAGAAGGAAAAAAGGAAAGAAGGAAAGAAGGAAAGAAGAAAAAAAAGGAAAAAAGGAAAGAAGGAAAGAAGCAAAGAAGCAAATAAGCAAAGAAAGAAAGACGGAAAGAAGGAAAAAACGAAAGAAGGAAAGAAGGAAAGAAGGAAAGAAGGAAAGAAGGAAAGAAGGAAAGAAGGAAAGAAGCGAAGAAGCGAAGAAAGAAGAAAGAAGAAAGGAAAGAACAAACGGACCAACGAACAAACTACCGAACAAAGACCACGAGCTGATGGGATCGTGCTGCCCCTAAAAACCAAGTTTAACAAGTTGCAACGACACGCAAAAGAGTCGCAGGGATTGTGAATATATCTTCTGTCAGCAAGCCGCACTTCATGGAGCGGGGTCTCGGGCAGTTGGCACTGATGAAGTGCTCAGAACCAAACTGAAACCAGCGGAATGCATCGATTCTTGGTCAAGCACAACGTCCAAACACATCTGAGAACTGCAACCTCGAAGGAAGGGCGATACAAATAAAGTAGCCCACCCGCCTTCTTTTCCACCATGTCACCCCGAAGCGATAGGTTAAAGAGACTGCCCCAAAAAAATATATGACCTCAAAGCCAAGGATCCTGAGTTGAATGAATTTATGCGGCACCCATCCTGCATGTCTACGATCCCCATGGCCAGCAATCTAGCAATCTGGGTCTCTCCCATCGGGGAAGGTGGGTTGCCTTTTGGTTTGCCAGCGGGGAAAATCCCAAAGAATCAAAAAATACACACACACAGACACACACACATACCTGTCTGACAAAAATAGGACAGGGTGGTTCCCTTTTGCCTGCTCTTTAAACAAAGGTGAAAAAGGCACCCATCCTGCAAACCATGTCTACGATCCCCATGCTGGCCAGCAATCTAGCAATCTAGCCCTGGGTCTCTCCCATCGGGCAAAGGCACACGCAGAGGCACAAGCAACACGCAGAGGCACACGCAGAGGCACACGCACACGCACACGCACACCCACGCACACCCACGCACACCCACACGCACCCACACACACACACACACACACACACACACACACACGCATGCATACACGCACGCACGCACGCACGCACGCACGCACGCACGCACGCACGCACGCACGCTTGCACGCATTCACAAGCACCCGGAGCGCTCGCGCGAGTCCGCCCGCCCGCTCGCCCGCACGCCTGCCCACACACACACACACACACACGCACACGCACACACACACACACTCATGCACGCAGACGCACACACCCTGGGCTCAGTGACTCACAGTGCGGGCAGGACCAAGGCCTTGTCTGGCCGATGCGATGTGCACGGTCGGATGCCTGAAGATCCGCCTGACAAGTGAATAAAGGAACCCTGTTGCACTTTGTTGCATTCTTCAACACAAAGACATGGAACGCTTTTGACTCTACCTACTTCTTGGTTGTGGGGTCCAACAAACAGGCTGGGGACTTGAACAAACAGGGTCCCTGGTGAACAATGGCTCACCGAAGACGTTACTGAAAAGATGTCTGGGCAGTGCGTGTGTGTCAGAAATGAGACTTGGACCCCGAAAAGGGAAAGTTTTTGTTGGTTCCCCTTTGAACCAACGCCAGACAGGGTTCCCTCAAAACGACACCCGCACACACACACACACACACACACACACACACACACACACACACACACACACACACACACACACACACCGTAGTCCAGGGTTCATTGGACGGGAACCCAGGGCAAATTAACCTCAAATTAGCTTTGGAATGCCTGTTCCTTTAATTTGCTTGTCAGCCAGCATGCTTTGCATTTCAACATGCATATGCACATGCATACATGATGGGTCTCGCATCACGGATCACACTCCAGCTACGTGTATTGTTCCGAGACATGTCCTGTCACAGCCCCCACAACCTGCCTGGGGATTCCAGTCGCTGTCAAAGAGGATGACAGTGTCGGCCTCAAACTCCCACTTGGCAAATGTCCCGAACTATGTTAGATTGTCTTTGTGACATTTTCAGGTGCAAGGCAGCAAACTAGATGGAATACAGCAAATGCAAATGGAACCCTGCAAGAAGAAACATCCCTTATCACTCAGATTTTGGCTCTAGAATCACCAACCTAAATTCAGGAATCGCAGAGCAAGGAACCTTCATCCTGGTGATTCAGCCTGTGAAATGAAGGAGACAAAAGGGCAAAGTTAAACAGCGGCTTCCATTAAAATCACACCCAGTAACCTCCATTTGCTTAAGTCCCCTGTTTTTTTTTCAAAACATAATATTTCCACTAGTGATAGATTCCCTTTAAAACCAACAGGGGAAGCAAATGGAAGGTAAGGCTGGACATGTGCCAATGACCCAGTCGAGTCGACGGTGCCATCTCCGAGTCCCCTGGCTGCTTGGAGGTTCAGCCCCAAACCACCAGCGCGTGTGGTGAGCCTTGATTCGGATGCTGGACTTTTGCTTGAGGCTACCTTTTTCGGGAAGCTTTGGAAGGGAGTTCAAAAAAAAAACGAAGCCATGGGGAGGAGGGGGTCCAAATTCCAAATCCCTATTTCGACCCATACCCATTTTGGTGTCTCTCTGTGAAATTGGGGAATTTTGAAAAAACCACCCAAGGGAAAGCAACTTTGGAGATTCTCTCCAGATTATTTGTATGCACATCCAGACCACTCGGATTTTTATGTGTTGCAGAGTCCCTGGGCCCGTCATAGTTTGTTGGGTTCTCGTGCAAGTTTCATCCGAACTGCAACCTCATGCACACATGAAACCCAACTGGAGGTTCTGGGAAGACTCTTTTTCCTCATGTCTCAAAAGGGCGCCAAGTGATCACAGCTAAAGCAAGCGTACTCATCGACAGGCGAAGCTCCTTGTGCCTTCAAGCCACAAAGCCACTTGGTTTCCCTAAGCAACCCGAAAAGGGTACACTCAAAACATAAAGACACAGGGGCGTATCACCTCAGCCCAGTGGCCATGGGAAAAAAAGGGCATCCTTTTTGGGTTGGTTGAGTTTAAAGGGGAAGCCTTTCCAAGAAAAAGGAAGAAAGGGCGCCACTGGGCAGCTGGGTCACTTCAACCAGCTTTTTGGGCAGTCGGAGCACGGTCAGGCGAGACTGGACATCGCTTTGGCTGGTAAGGCTGCAACTCGGGCGCCCAACAGCGGCCCCTTGGGGCTAAGAAAACCAAATTTCCTCACGATCATGGGACAAGGTGCAAGATTCTTCAGTGGTCTTTGCGCTGACAGCTCACTACAGGAACCCCCGAGAAAGGGCCCTTCAGCGACCATGTTTTACCCACTCAGCTCGCCATTGGACCCGGGACCCCAGCAGCATCACAGGCACTGCCTCCTGCGTGAAGCTTGCAATAGCTTGTGCCCGCTGCCTGGCCGGTTCACCGAAGCATGGAGCATCACCTAGCTTAACGCCCACTACATACTCCCCAAATCAAACGGGTATGCGTCAAATTTGGGCATGTATGTCCCATGTTTCGGTTCCGAATTGGAATTGGGTCGCAGTCGATGGCTCGGCATTTGATTTTTGGGTATGGGTCAAAATAGAATCACCAGGGAGCCGGGTAGATGAAGGTTATATAGTAAGGCACAATCCCGACAATAGATAGCTGCGGCCGCCTTCTTGATTCTTTACATGGTTGTGGCTCAAAGTTAAAGAGCTATCGTTACGCAGGCTTTGGTCTTTGGTTCCATTTACCAGGGCAACCCAGTTTGGGTATGCATTTTTGACCCGTGGCCATGGATCCAAAGCTTCTGATGAACGGCGCACCTCCGCCAGTACTTCTGAAAGCGTCTGGCTGAGTCCAAGCCACAAGCCAATGGGCGGGTTGTGTTCACAGGCTGTGAAGTGAAGATTGGGATTCCTTCGCTGAAAGGAATTAGCCGGCTGCAAACAAGCACTTGGCATGTCATATGGGAGTTTCTCGCAGTGGTGGACCCAATTTGGTTGGTATTTAGGGTGAAACTAAAGGAAACCAACCTTTTTAGGGGTACCAATTCGTATTTTGAGAAACCCCCCATATGGCTTGGTGCTATGAGTGAACACCGG